TGAATGCATTTTTTTCATTTCAATTTTTTAGCCACATATTATGCTTTTCAGGCTCATATGTGTTGTTGCCTGTGATCCATAATCTTTCTTTTATCTTGCTGTATACTATTCTGGCTTATGAATATGCATTCACACATGCATACGTTTCCTTCTACTCATTAACTTTTAATGCGTGTTGTTTCAATTTTTCTTCTGGACAGTTATAGTACAAACAGATTGGTCCATGTTTCCTCATATATACACAAAAGCATTTTCTAAGATGAGTATTGAGGATTAAAATTGGTGGTCATCGAGGATGCACCCTTTCAATTTTTGTAGGAAATGCCAAATTATTTTCCAGAATGGTTGCACCAATTTCTGTTTACATCAGCAACACATGGGATTTACTATGATTCCACATTTTGGTCAACAGCAGGCATGGTTAGATTTCTTAATTTCTGCCAGCCTGGGTAAAGGGGTTTTCATGTCTACTGATGTGGCGGCTGGTGTTGTTCTGAGATGGTTTGCCCTTTGTGAAACACACACACTCCAGGGTGATGTTTTGATTTCCTCTCCCACCTTTTTTTGTGATCTGGGGATTAATGCCAGGACCTCACACATACTAGGCAAGTGCTCTGCCCCTAAACTACATCCCTGTACTATATTACTGTAGTCTAAAATCATTCTGGAAATAGCTGTCACATGGGTTGAGAGGGATCATTTATTCCCTTTGAAGGACATTGTCCCCTGCTCACTTTCCTGAAGCCATGGCCATTGCAGGGAAGCACCATCCTCTGATGGCAGGGAGGGTGTTCTTCCCTCTGGGATCTGGGGCAGCTCCAATGGAAGGCTTCTTCAGGCCCACAGCAGGGTGGTCACTCCACTGCAAGGACTGTGTTCTGTTCCTGAGGGCACGTCTTCTCCATTCGCGGTTAAGCTCCCCTTCAGTGCTGAACCTGAGCAAGCAGTTGGCTGCCTGCGTTTTGCAGCTGCTGTGACGTTAGTCCAGGCCAGGTGTGCCAGCAAAGCCCTCTGGAAGGAGCAGGGAATGGCAATTATTCAGCGTGGAGGCCCCCTAGAGGCAAAAAGGGGTTTCACAGTCAGTGTGCGCAGTGTTCTTTTGGAAATAAATCTGTGAGTACCACCCTTATCATGAAGTTAAGGCTGCTGACCTCTAGATCATCTTTCCCCACCTCCTCTACCTTCCCTCAGGGCTGGGCCTCCTTATGCAGTGGTACCTGGGTTGTCCCACCTGGGGTTACCTGAGATGGAGGTAGCTGAGTCTCTATAGTGCTACAGATACAAGTCCAATGGGGCAGCCAAAGCAAATGGCTAATGTCATGAGTGAAAACATGGCGTACAAGCAACACAACAACTAAGCACAGAGGGTAATCCCAGGTAGGAAGACAGGTTGGTCTACTGGGACAGTCAGCAGGCTTCAACTGTGGACTATGCCTTGGAAAATAGTAGAGATGAAATATAGGAGTCCAGTTACTGCCATGAAATTTTGGGCATACATTTAGCACTAAAAGTTGTTTATCTGAAATTCACAATTAATGGTGTGTTCTCTATTTCAATGTGCTAAATCAAACAATTGGACACTATTGCATAATATAAAAATCTCCTGAATTTAATACTATCAGTATAAAATATTGTATCACCAAAGGCTGTATATTAGCATATGTTTTATATACTAGTAATATACACCCAAATACCATGTAATTATGTACTAACTATTACATATACTAAATATAACTTTAAACACTACAGTAATATAGTTATCCAAAGGAATGACCACCTTCCTAGGAGACACACGTGAAAGTATTTACAGGCAAAAGGGCAAACGCGCTGTATGTTTTGCATGGCTTAGTAAAAATATGAATGGTAATAAAAATGAATAGTAAAAATGACAAAGCAGGGGCTGGGGATTTAGCTCAGCGGCATAAGCACCTGCCTTGCAAGCAGGCGGTCGTGAGTTCGATCCCTGGTACTGATAAAAAGTTAAAAAAAAAAAAAAAAAGCAAAAATGTCAAAGCAAATGTAGACAAATGCTAGCTGGTGACGATTCCAGGACAAGAGTGTACCCAGATGAATTGTAACATTCTTTCAGGTTTTCTTCAAGCCTGATGGTTTTTCACAACACAATTATTTCTGGAAAAAACAAAGTCTGAGATATAAAGCCGGGAAGCTCAAGTCCAGGCAGCAAAACTCAGGCACTGCATGACAGCAGGAGACACTGGGTCTGCTACTTGTCCAGATGGGTCAGAAAGGGTGCAGGATAAGCACCCAGAGTCATGCCAGCCCAGTGCTGACGCTTTCTTTTGTCAGTAATTCCATGTGTAGGTCCTTGACTGCAGCTCAGGGTCAGGCAGCTGTGAGAGAGGAGGCCTTGGTGGTTCAGTGTCTTAGGGTGGTTTTCTTCACCTTTTGTCATTTTCTAATTATCTTTTTGGTCTTTGTTTCTGAGTGCCTTTTATCTATCTTTTTGTAAGGTGCTTGTATTTTTTTTTTTTTTGTACCAGAAATGGAACTCAGAACCTTGTACTTGCCAGGCAGGGACCATGCCACTGGGCTGTGTCCCTGGCCTGTTGTCTTTTTCTTAATGATTTGAGAAATATCTAATATGTTCTAGCTGTTAATTCTATGTCATTTATGTGTCAAAATGTCTTTGCCCAGTTTTAGTTTGGTTTATTTCCATTCCTTTTATTTATATGTTTTGATGAATTTTAATGTAGTCAGATTTATCAATCTTCTTAAAGTTGAACAGTTTGGTGCTTTTGTTTTGTCTTAAGAAATCTTTCACGAGCCTGGAATGGTGGTGTATTCCTGTAATATTTGGAAGGCTGATTTAGGAGAACTGCTGAAAATTCAAGGCAGCCTGGACTACACTGTGAATTTGAGGGTAGCCTGAACTACCAAGACAGAGTCTATCACAAGCAAACAAACAAACAAAAAAATCTTTCCTACCTCCGGGCTATAGAGATGCTATATTTTTTTCATCTAAAAGCCCAAAACACATCATGTAGTTCAGATTGGTCTTAACTCACTTTGTAGACCAGGCTTGCCTGGAACTTGCAACAGTCCTGCCTGCCTTCTTGGTGCTGGGATAGATGTGCACCATGATGCCCAGCTAAAAGTCTTAAAGTTTCGCCTTTCACATTTAGATCTGGGATTGATCTTGCTATGGTGTGAGGTAGGGATCTACTTTTGGTTCCCCTTCCCCCTTTTGCTTCGTAGTCAGTATTTGCAGGCCTAATTGGGAGATCAGCTTGTGCTAGAGAAACAGTCCAGGGCAGGCTGTGATTAGAGGGCGCTAGCAGTGAGTCACAGGAAGAGGGAATGATTCATAGAAACTGACCCTGATGCCAAGGCTGATATCACATGAAGCACAAAATCAATATGCTTGACTAAGCAGGGGGGAATCCTTGGTGAGGTTCCAGGAAGGAGAGAGAATGTCAGTGAAGAATGGGAGCTATGTAAAGGAGGGAAGATAGTTTGGTAACCATGGTAACTTGGTAGTTGTCCCACAGACTGTACAAAACAGCTAGTGAATTGAGCTGCTTCCCAAAAGATGCCAGGAGTCAGGCTGATAACCACGTTCTGAGCAGAGAAACTCATGCTCTTCTGCCTGCTCTTGCACCAGCCTAGATGCTGAGATTTCTAATTTTCTCAACAAGGTCCCATCGTGGCTCTGGGCCTGAGTTTATCCAGGCTGCTCTGAGGACTCCTTACCTTTCCCCAATACTGGAACCATGGCCTGTTGGATTTGCTGCAGTTAGGAGCAGATAAGGATCTGAGATAAAGGTTGACCAGAGAAGAGAGCAGGGGGAGGGAACTCCTTACTTCTTATAGGAGAAAGCCCCGGCCACCCACTGCATGTGGTACACAGACATGGGCTGTGGGTCACATTGCTGAAGGTACTATTCAGCTTGGCCTGCTAGTGGTATGAGTGCAGGGGGAACTAACTCTACTTCTGGTCTCATTATGAGTGAATTCTAGTGGTACTACTCAAGCAAGTTACTATGAGGCTGAGAGATACTGAAGCAAATGGTCATATATCAAGGAAATGTATCATTTGCATAAATTTGCATGGCTGACAGTCAAAGTCCCAACAATTTCACAGTTTGTTTTTGTGAAATGGACTCCATCCATCTCAGTTCACAGAACAACTCCCTTGTGATACAACCATCCAGTCTTGGGGTCTGATTAAATGTGCATGGTCCATTCATAGGATAGAACACCATGTAGCCATTAAGAAGGAAGGATGTATTTAAACCAAAGAAAAAAGATGCCCAAACATGGTAATGGAATGAAGTAAGGTACCAAATCTGTGGAAAGCAGGCTACTTTAGTGCTATCTTTTAAAGGATGTTCCTCAGTGGATTTATGTATACACACATGCTATGTATGCATGGGTTACTTTCTGGAAGGATCTGCAGAAAACTGATAACTCTGATTTCTTTTGAAGAAGGAGCCCAGTAGAGCGGGTGAGTTTTTACTTTCCTTTTATTTCTGTCTGTGGAATTAACATTCCTTACCAACGCCAATTCAGTGCTGTTCCCCAGTAACCCTGGGCCACAGTATTTTCCATGGATGAGCCCTATGTCATTTCATCTTAGCAAGCTTCAATTTGATTCTTAATTTATAGGCGAGGGAGTCAAGGCACAGAGAGGTTAAGTAACCTGCTGGAGGGCACCTATGTAAGGAGTGTAGCTGGGGTTCAAACTCAGATAGAAGAAGTCTCTTTTCAGCTACCCTGTGACACTGTCTCCCAATGTATTATTTGTATCTGTTGAAAAATTCTCAGTAAATTTCTGCATTATAGACCATTTTAAATGTCTTTATGTTCTTTTCTAAAAACAAAATCAACAAAGGAATTACGATTATGGTTCCATCACCTGTGATTCTTATTGTCCACTGGTTACTTCCATTGGCCCAGGTGAAGGGAGTTGGGAGACTCCCTTCAGGAGTCAGGGGACCCCTTTGCTCACCCAGCTCTGTGTGGACTGCAATGTGACCTTGGCTAGGCCTCTTTCCCTCCCTGGCCTCTCCCTCCATCTATAGAGCTGGTGACCTCCACAGGCCCTCCTACGCAAGGATTCTCTGGCTCTCTCTGATCTATTTTTGCCTGACACCTCTCCCAGGGGCCTGTGGGTCTGAGCTAATTTCCCTGGCTGGCCGAGATCCAGGCAGCTCAGGTGGAGAGTGCTGAGCTAATGAGGCCAAGGTCATCGGCCAGTTAGGGTGTCTTTGAGGAACCTGGCTTTGTAGCTGGACTGCAGCTCCTCTACCAATCGCCAGCCTCAGGCACTGGTGACCTTATAGGGAATAAAGACAGCAAAGCTGGCTCCTGCAAGTCATCACTTTCTGTAGAAGCCTCTAGGGATGTGTTGGGAGCCGTGGCACTGTCAAGTCATCAGACGCGGTGATTGCGAGGCCTGTGGGAAAGTACAAAAGCCTGGGCTAGATTACCCCTCTCATCGAGCCCGCCTGTGTGGCACCTGTTTCTTATCACCCCACTAAGTACCCGCCTCACAGGGTAGTCTGCCTAGCTATTAATCCTATATATAGCCAGTGCCTCCACCCCCGAGAGAGAGAGAGACTGAAGCACAAAAGGAGCCGCGGAGAGCGGACCGGTAGAGGCTTCGGGGCAGACTGAAGCACGGAAGGAGCCGCGGAGAGCGGACCGGTAGAGGCTTCAGGGCAGACTGTATAAGGAGAGAATAAAGAAAAGCCTGACCACCGCCAGACCTTGTCGTGTGTCTTTCCTGCCGGCCGGGAGCGGACATCGACATTTGGAGGCCTGCCCGGGGATTGATCAACCCCGAGACGCGGCGGTGGACTGCATTCTCCTACACAGTGCTGCAGCTGCAGGACAGGTGAGTAGAGGATAAGCCTGGGCCCTGGGTGGCGCGCACCTACAGGGTTTGTAGACTCCTCTCAACCTCACGCGTAAGTGGCGGGTTTCTTGGGCCTCACGCGGTGAGTATGAAACATAACACCAGAACTTAAGGTAATAAAAGAGTGTAAAACATAAACATAGAAGTAAAAATAACAGAAGATATATTAAAAATGGGAAACATGCCAAGTAAAGATACACAGCCTTGGTGTTGGTCCTTCGGAGACTCCTAAAGTCCAAGGACCTCAAGGTGGGGCGTAAGACTTTAGAAAATTTCCTTGCAGAGATTGACAGCTTTGCTCCCTGGTTTCTGCCTACAGGGCATGTAAACCTGCCCTCCTGGGAAAAGTTGGGCAGAGACCTTTCCCTAGCAGAGCGGGAGGGTAGAGCTTCAGTCTCTGCTCGTCCATTGTGGGAAATGATACACACGTGCCTAAAGAGTGAGGGTAGTTACGGGGGGAGCTCTCAAGAACTTGTAGAAGTACGCGAGGTGTTTGAACAGGCACAGTGAGGAAGCTCCCGAGAAGGGTCCGTCAAGGAGGGCAGAGATACAAAAGAGGAAGCCGAGGCGTGGTTTGTGTCTTTCCGCAGGAATCGGGACGAGAACCAATGTGGGTCCCAGAGAGGTTGACGCGACAAGTCCCTCGACTGAAGATCAGGCCTGTTCCACCAGAGGCCAACCGCAGACCCAACAACAAGATGAGCCCTAAAAGAACTGCAGGACAATCCCTTTTTGGGGGCCTGGAACGGCTTGCTCCCCTATGTGCTACCCTTGTATACGCATGGCTCGCTCGCATGGCCTACGACCGCGTTTAAAAGTGACAGGCTTCCCACATTCTCCTCCCTAGACAACAACATGTAGCAGGGTGGGTGAGTCAATGACGGGTAAGAGCGTGCCTCCCCAGCACGACTCAACCTAAGCCAGGCCCTACCCCGTTCCGCTCGAAAGCCGCTGGATTGTTAGATAAATTTCTCTCCGAGGGGATTCGTGGAGAGAAATGAGTGCATGCCTATGTGCAACCAGGTTCCGTCCGGTTCATTCCTGGCCCTAGAAAAAAGGACGAGGGCCTCAGGGCCTTGGTGGACCCTGGGACGGCCGACCAGGGTCTACGCTAAGGGCCTACGGTGGGCCTCAGTTCGGGGCATAGGCCTCTGCACTCTATCCAGGACGGGCTGCGATGCGCGTAGCCATCATTTAAAATAAAATAGGGGGAGATGTTGGGAGCCGTGGCACTGTCAAGTCATCAGACGCGGTGATTGCGAGGCCTGTGGGAAAGTACAAAAGCCTGGGCTAGATTACCCCTCTCATCGAGCCCGCCTGTGTGGCACCTGTTTCTTATCACCCCACTAAGTACCCGCCTCACAGGGTAGTCTGCCTAGCTATTAATCCTATATATAGCCAGTGCCTCCACCCCCGAGAGAGAGAGAGACTGAAGCACAAAAGGAGCCGCGGGGAGCGGACCGGTAGAGGCTTCGGGGCAGACTGTATAAGGAGAGAATAAAGAAAAGCCTGACCACCGCCAGACCTTGTCGTGTGTCTTTCCTGCCGGCCGGGAGCGGACATCGACAGGGATGCATGCCCCAGACACCCCTTCTGACTACAGGACAGCATGTCCTGGAGTCACGTTCACACACTGGCGGCACTAGGGGTCAAAGCAGGAAGGTGAGAACCACTTCTGTCCCTTTAAATCTAAAGCATATATTATGGCTGTGGTCTCCCAAGGCGTGGCATAGCATGCTTCTTTGCTTCTGACATCAGAGTCTCATCTTTCTATGTGAATCATTTCCACAACCTTGCAGTCAGAAGTGGGACAGAGTAGGGCTTTCTCTTTTTACATTAATATTTTCCATAAGGGCAGAGGCTATCTTTTCTTTTCTGCTACATCCATGATGCTCAGATCGATGCCTGACATACATACAGTAGGAGCTCAATAAACATGGTTTGAGGGAATCAAATCACCATCATCCCAGCGGGAGGCTGTGATTGCATTTGAATGGACATGGTATCCCTAATGGGTTCTGCTGGCTTGTTTTCAAATCTTTCTATTGCAAAGAGTCTGGAAAAGTTTGTTAGTTAGAGGAAAATTGAAGGCGCTAGGAAAAAGGACTATTTCCTTTACATTGCTCCAAGTTTTTTCAGTTCACTTCAGTGAATATATATGGTTACTTATTATTGTTATGTAAAGCTAGGCAGTGGACTAAACACATAACTTGTATTGATCATTTAATTTCCACAACAACCATATAAGCTGGGTTCTATGACTGCTCTGTGAAGTACAGATGAGAAAACTGAGGCAGAGAGAGGTGAAGGAGTGTGTGTAACCTCACGTGAATAACAAGTTTCAGAGCTTCAAACTCCAGAGGCCACGCTTCTAGTCACAGCTAACGCTCCCGTACAGGGCTTACTTTTCATGCGGGTGTCTCTGTACCGTGTACTGATGAGTAAGAGGATTGAGGAGCCCTTTCACAGTGGCGTGGTCAAGCGTCGTGTGATACTGACGCATGCAGTAGTCCAAATGACTTTCCAGAGAATTACGGGAGGAGAGGGAAGGCGGGGAAGCTGGGCCTGTAGGTGTTAGCAGGTCAGAAGGAGGCAGGCAGGACAGCAAGAAGACGTGTGTTCTTGCTACAACATCATCTCCACAGCCAGCAGATCTCAGGCTATTCATTCCCCCTGCAAAATTGTGTAATGCAATCTATTTCCCAGCTTGTTCATAAAAATGCTAAGTGACAGACGAAATGATCGTTTTGCATGTTACTGAAACCTTTGGTGCTTGCTGTGGCTTATCTGGGGGAACGTCGAATCAGAGGAGAAAATGAATGAAAGTTCCACTTTCAAACATCGTGCCATAGAGCAAGCATCATTGTTCAGCCTGTCAGGATCATTTTTCACATTCAGTTTAGTCCAAACGACAGAAGTTAATGTTAAGAGATCATTTCTTTATAAATGTCTTTATACATTTTTTTCTTGGAATGACTAGACTTGCATTGTACATAGTAACAGCCTATGAAATGGTGAGCGTTTTGAAGTCAAAGTCTTCTCAATTTGCATCTTAATTCCACCATGTACTAGTTACGCTTGTGATCTTTAGTGCCCTTGGGTCCTAGTCCCTTATCTTTACAATGAGATTACTAATAAAGAAGAGGCCAATAATACCAAATCCATAGGTCTGTTGGTAGGGATCAATGAGAAAATATTTGTCAAAGAACCCAGAATAATTCTCAGCATGTAGTTAGCTGTTGCATAAGGGGCATATACTATTGTTAGTGACAATTCTAGTTTATATAAGGAATTAAAGATATGCATCTTCCACAGTCTCCTAAAAATAGCTCGGTGACCTTATTTGTATCAGCAATGAAAAGTCTAGGAAAGGGTGAAGGAACAAAGAGCCCCCAAAACCCAGCAGTTTGCAACAAGGAGGTGACCATTTCCTCACAATACCCGTTTGTCATAGGTCATCTTCCCTCCTGGACCTCAGGTCATGGAACAGCCAGTCCCTGGAACACTGCTGGGTGTCCTGGTGGACGGAAAGGGCCTTCTACCAAGCATTAATGCTATGGCTTAGAAATGACGTGTTCTATTTCCACTTAAAACTCCTTGACCAGTGGAAGACCATAAACAGACCAGAAAGAAGAATCCCACTAATGCATCTGAGAAGGAGAAAGCCAGAAAAATGGGGCCAGCAGCTCAAGTGACGGCCACAACTCTTCTCAAAAACCATTGCCCAGACCCAGAATGGTGGCTCAGCCAGCTGGCAGAAGGAAGGTGGGAGCCAGAGAGCCATGCAAAAGACGAGGTGGGCTGGAATGGAGGGCGATTTCAAGTCCACGGGCAGGACTGAGGCGGGGGGGGGGGGGAACACTGCTGGGTGCTTCCGGACCTGAACCCCAATAGACTCAAGACCATTCTGTGCTGCAGGCAAACCAGCTGGAAGCCGGGAGGCGCACAGGGTTTCAACGCGGATGGGGAAATGTATGAGGCCTGTTTGCTCCTGGCTCTCCGGCTTAGGAGCAGATTAGTCATAAAGCACGGTTTCTGTGGTTCCGCCCCTTCTGCTCTGGTGGATTCCAGAGGCTTTTGGATTCTTCCAGTGGCTCTGGGAGCCTCCGATGGCGCTTCTGGCGTTTTCAGCTTGGTGGCCCCACCGCGCTCCTCCCTGGTGCCAGCGCGTGCTCCTCCCCGCCGGGCTTTGTGCATCTCCGGTTCTTGCTGACGTGGAGAGCTGCGCTCGGCGGGCGCGGTCCTTAGAGTTTCCCCGCAGCCCCATCCGAGGATGTCTGTGCCTACAGTGCCACCTTCCGTCTCTGCTGAGACTGCGGGCAAAGTGCAGGCTTCCACTGCCATCCTTGCCAGAGGATTCGGCGCGGGACCCCGCCCAGGGACTGGGGCGTGGCCACAGAGTCGGAAGGCTCTCCATCTGACCCCTGCTGGCCATTGTTCATAGTCTGGACCGCAAGTCTCTCTCAGGTTCCAGCCACTGGCTTATGCGCTATGTGGCCTCCTGCCTGGAGCCTGCTTGTACCACTTTGCACCCCACATGCCCTGGTCAGTTCAGTCTCCAAGACATAGCCTGAGAAGCACTACACAGAGAATCTGGCCTCGACGCCTCAAACTCCGTCCAGCCTCCTGCCATGAGCTCTGTCCCCTTGCTGTGGGATTGGCCAGTGAGAATAGGGGAAGGGCCGCCTCAGCTCCAAAGTATTTCCAAAGAGCAAACGATGTCCTCAGAATCCTGCTGAGGAATCGCACCTGGATCTGACGAGCTGCTCACATACATGGCTCTCACATGTATTGTGACCTTCAGGGGACAGCTGGAGCCTGTGGGACACGCTGCCATTGGTGAGAAGACCTCTGTGGGTTTCTTGTTTGTTCCATGAGCTGTTGCAGATGGCTAGGAGAGGGATCCTTGCCTTTGCTTTCCATTTGCCATGGAGGCTTACTTTTCCTTGTGTCCAGAGCAGGGTGGTCCCCTTACCTCTGCCCACCTACAGCTCATTTGACCGTCTCCCCTTCAGAGGTGCAGTCAGCCCAGATTTGAATGCAACTTCTGCTGCCTCAGGTGAGCTCTTTAAGTGTCCTGTGCCCGGAGTCTTCAATTATCGGATGGGGACAATAATCATTTCTGGATTATTCTGAGGACAAGATGGGAGAAAGACCATGTTCCTGCCTGCATCCTGGCAGCACTGACTGCTGAGATCCTGCTGCCACCATCTCTGGTGAAGCTGGCTACCAACCAACCAGAGGACCCACGTTGCTGTGTTACAGCCAGATTCACCTCTAGTGTCCAAGATGCACCAAAAGGGGAGCTGAAAACCTGTATGGGAAGCAAGTCACCTAGCTCCACCCCAATTTTAGTCCTATCCCTGGGCTGACAAACTCGGAGTAGGGATCGAGTCCAGCCTTGCCTTCCTGTCCTGCTGGGTGCCTGCTGGGGTCACCTACATGTCACACAGGCTCTGCATTCTCCTCCAGTCCTGCATGAATTCACTGTGTGGCCTTTGTTTCTTCTCCATCTGGGCTCATATCCTGTGGCTTTTCCTGTGCTCTGTCCCAAAACCGGCTGTAGCCTGAGCTCTGAGCGGCAGCCTGAAATACAGCAGTAATTACACTGTCTTTTTTGATCTGGCTGAAGAGCAGATCGAGGGGGCAGCTGGATTTTTTCCCTATCATATTCGCCCTGTGTGTCTTGCATACCTTAACATTTCGTCTCAGGAAATAATCCCATTTCTCCAGCTCAATCAATGTGTTCTTCTGCAATGCTTCAATATTGGACTTGCCCAGTGTTCTTATTCTGACAAATTCATCATCTGTATTTTAAGCAATCTTGTTCCTTCCTGAGCCTTACCCATAGGCCTTGACAATTCTTCTTCTCCTTCCTCTTCCCCTTCCCCTACCCTGCCTCCTCCTCTTTCTCTCTTTTTTTTTGTTCATTTTTTTGTCTTTTTGAGACAGGGTCTCGCCATGTGGCTCAGGCTGACCTTGAACTCATAGCCCAGGCTAGCCTCAAACTCACAGCAATCCTCTTGCTTCAGCCTCTTGAGTGCTGGGATTACAGGTGTGTGTCATCATGCCTGGCTACAGTTCTTCTTAACTTCTGGGTTTTTCATAATCCCACTGAGATTTTTCATGACTTTAAGGGTGGTGGGGCAACACAGCCTGTGAATGATCACATCTCCTTTTGGATATTCACAGATGCACCAGCCATCGAACACAGTGAACTAGCCAGATCCTTTTGACACCAGATTTTGGGAAGGAGCAGAATCAGAATCCCATGGTTAAAGTCGGAAAGGTGGACCCTATTCTGGGTCCTTCCTTGATGGAGCACAGCACCTGAAGAAGAAGAAAAAAAAAAAGATAGAAATAGGCTACTAAGTAAGAAATAGATACGAAGAAAGTTGTGGTTATAAATATAGGGATATATTTTATAAGGAAAGGTGAAAGAAGGGGAAAATTCTTTTTTATGAGAAATAATTCTGCATGGTAAAGAAAGATTTTCAGAATTCTCAGCAGGTTTGTGGAGGT